TATCTATATTTGAATAATGTAAAAACTTTTACCATAGGGGAGCAAATTAATATACCCAAGCAAATTAGTTATTAGGTTGAGTGCAGAAATTTGAAGTTCTTTCAGAGTAAGGCTCAGAAACAGGTTTCAGTGCTTACAGGGAAAAAGGCAGGTTAAATTTAAAGACCAGTATTTCCTTAACTTGTCTTGAATAATTCAGCTTAAGCTTATTACCAGAACTCATTGAACTACTTTTTAATAAGTGGCTTTTCATTCTCCCAAGCCTCTGTAATTGTCTCAGACTTGTCTTATTCCCTACCTACCCTCTTTTATATTTAAGTAACATTAAATACCAATAACAACAGGCCTCAGTGTACATAAACTGTTTCTTAAGTCTGTGTAACTTGTTTTCTTTTCACAGCCTGGTTCCCCGGGACCTGTAATTCCTGTTCAACCACTTGGGAAAATACTCACAAAACCAGATTCCCACTGGGAGGGAACAGTTATTGTATCAGAAGCTGAGAATGGTGTTCATCCGAAAACTGAACTCCAACAAAAACAGCTATTAAATAACACCCAAGCACTTTCAAAGAATCCTCCTCCTCAGCCACTTGTCCGTAATTCATCTGAGCAACCTTCACAGAAGCTGCCTTCTGCACCAGTGAAGTTGCACTGTCCTCCGTCACCTCACATAGAAAATCCCCCAAAGTCGTCAACGCCTCACACGCCTGTGCAGCACGGTTATCTGTCACCAAAGCCCCCTTCCCAGCAGTTAGGCTCTCCCTACAGGCCTCACCACTCACAGTCACCTCAAGTTGGAACACCTCAGCGAGAGCCACAAAGAAACTTTTATTCCACAGCACAGAACCTTCAAGCCAACACTCAGCAGGCAACTTCTGGAGCATTATTTACCCAGACACCCTCAGGACAATCTTCAGCAACATACAGTCAGTTTAACCAACAGAGTCTGAGCAGCACGGCACCGCCGCCTCCACCCCCTCCGCCCCCTTCTTCTTCGTCTTATTATCAAAACCAGCAGCCCTCTGCAAACTTTCAGAACTATAATCAGCTTAAAGGTAGTCTTTCCCAACAAACTGTGTTTACATCAGGACCAAGTCAAGCACTTCCTGGCACCTCAAGCCAGCAAACAGTTCCGGGACACCACGTTACTCCAGGGCATTTTTTGCCTTCTCAGAACCCTGCTCTTCACCATCAGGCTGCTGCTGCTGCTGCTGCTGCTGCTGCTGCTGTGGTCCCACCCCCTCCTCCGCCACCACCTGCTCCAGGACCACACCTGCTCCAACAGCCGAGTTCCCATCAGCCACACTCTGTAGCACACGTAGTGGGGCCCGTTCACGCCGTCACCCCTGGGTCGCATATTCATTCTCAAACTGCTGGACACCATTTGCCACCACCCCCTCCACCTCCTGGGCCTGCCCCTCATCACCATCCACCGCCCCATCCTTCCACAGGACTCCAAGGTCTGCAAGCACAACACCAGCATGTTGTAAATTCAGCCCCTCCACCACCCCCTCCGCCTCCGCCTTCCAGCGTTTTGGCTTCTGGGCATCACACCACATCAGCTCAAGCCTTACACCATCCACCTCATCAAGGACCTCCACTTTTCCCTTCCAGCGCTCATCCAGCTGTACCACCGTACCCCTCACAAGCTACACATCACACCACTTTGGGACCGGGACCCCAACACCAGCCTTCCGGAGCAGGGCCACACTGTCCATTACCAGTTGCAGGTCCTCATCTCCAGCCCCAAGGACCAAACAGTATTCCAACACCTACTGCTTCAGGGTTCTGTCCTCATCCTGGCTCTGTGGCCCTGCCACATGGGGTTCAAGGACCTCAGCAGGCATCTCCAGTGCCTGGACAGATTCCAATTCACAGAGCACAGGTGCCACCAACATTTCAGAACAACTACCATGGTTCAGGGTGGCATTAAAATGGACTGCAAAAACATTTTTTAAAATGTTCTGTAAGATAAACTGTATATTTCATATGTACCTATTAAGGTACTTTTTAAAGCTTGTACATGAAACTTTGTAAAAAAAAAAAAACACCAGTGCTCTTTCATTGTATTTTTCCCACTTCTGCTTTTTAAAATTCCTTAAGAAATGTGCTGTTCAGCCAGTATTAGGGATCTTTACTTTGTAAATGAACGAACATTCCAGCTGTTTTTCTGGCAGTAGATTTGATGCTACATGATCTTTACATTTTTTTTGTTGCAGTTAAATTCATTTAGTGAATGTTTTCTATATTATTTTATACATATGCATTAAACTACACAGCTAAGTAATGGCACTATGAGGATTTTCTTTTCTTCCTGTCAGCAGTTCTGTGAGTGCATCTTAAATATAAAAAAATGCAATACAGATCTTTATAGTTTGGTGTGGACATGGCTCATTTTGTTTTATCGGTTAATTTGCAAGCAAAATGTAATTTAATGTATAGATGATTTTAATGTCTCCTGACAAACTGTAAATACTGTATTTCTTTCGCGTATATAATTGCTTACAGCTTTTCTCATTTGATATATAGCATTGTACATATGACAAGTCTTTGCAAAACTGTGTGATCTTTGTGAAAGTAGTACAGTATATGGCCTTTAATTTCTTTTTTATTTTAAATATACTGTCACATTGAAGCACTGGTTGGGCATTTTAATTCATGTTAATAAATCACAATTATGTCAGTTTTACCAGATTGTCCTGTACAACTTCTGAGATTGGGAATCTGTTGAAACAAGTGTTTTCACAAAACTTACATTTTCCAGACAGGAGTTTGGAAGGAGGCTTCCATTTTCTTTAGCAACTACTACCCCAGCGGGACTGCAGGAAGCATCAGGAGGCAGTGAGGGCTTGTTCCTGTAATATTCCTACTTGTTATTTTTGCAGGAGCAACAGCTATAGGAAACTACTATGTACATCTACTTATATCTGACATACAAAATGAATTCATTCCATTAAAGCATCACACATAATACAGTTATAGACTATGATTTACAATAACTTTGAAAATCTAGAGTTTACCTAAAAACACAAGCATACGTAATTTGTACATGCCATGATCTACATGGCTGAAATGTACTACCGATGAATCAAAATTATCTTAAAACCTTAAATTAACATTTACTATCTAGCTATAGTATTAAAAACAGTAATAGGAAATTTTAAAAACCTGTTTTAAATATACAAAACTAAAGGAAAAAGGCATTATTTCTAGGATCTCTTAAGTGAAACTAAAATGGCCTCAAATGAACATTTTATTGCTGAAATATAAAATGCTAGTTATTTTCAAAAAATAAAAAATTCTTATCCTTTGTCCTCTACCTTTCAGGAGGCTTAATTAAGTATAACCAATAGTAATGACACTATTTGTCCACACATTTTTCATCATCCAATTACTTGACATACTTTGGCACCATATACAAATTCTGTGTATTGAGAAAAAAGTAAACAGACTAAAAATGATTAAGATTTGGCAGTAATGTAAGTCATGTTTTACACTTTTAATTTCCATTTCCTTTTGAAAATAGCTGATGATACATTAACACAGCTGCGTTTAGGGCTCAAATCCTAATCATCTTCAAGTTTTAGAAGAACTCAGGTCAACTTTTGCCATCCTTGATTTATCAAACAGAATTCTACTTATCGTATTCACTGAAGAAACACTTGTCCAAGGCGAAATGGCTTTACATCATCCGTCCCTTGACAGTTTCAAACACAAAATATAGTTAACTAGCACAGTGAACTGTCCATATTCACACCTCTTTAAAAGGACTATCCTAAAGATTTTTAATTCCTCATACTTTTAGATTTGCCCACTACATAAATAATGTATACAGAAGCTTTTCTGTAAACTGCAGAATCTGAAAATGGGTGAAAACAGTGGAATTTAAGAAGCAATTTCACCTATAAATACAAACTGAAGTTCTCTGCCCAAGTAGAAGGGGTACTTTATCCTAATTAGTTATGGATGATCCAAGTACAGGAAGAAACAAGTTAGTATATCAGTTTTCACCTAGAAAGTTTATGCTTTTTTGAAGCTCCTATATCCTGTTTCTCTCTGCCTTGGCACAGTTCTGTCTAATTTCCAGATAGCCAGCTTATGAGTCTGCTATAATCACATACGTGATTCCCTGCTTGTCATTTTCCATGAAGACTTCACATGGACTAGAGAAAGGAAAAGACAGGACATTCAACTAGAATCACGGAGCTGGCCATAGTGTTCTGCATAACCAGTTGTTCTCATTTAGCTTCTACGCAATCATCATCATCAAGCCACCAAGAATCTGCTAAAAACCGTACTGTAAGTAATATGAACGTACATTCCTTCGAGAGCAATTGCTTTTATACTGTAAGCTAGTTAACCATTTTAGCTTAAGCAACAGATCCTTACATAATTCATAATAATCTAGATTATTTTTGAACATGAGCCAAAACTGCATTAGACAAATTTCATTCAAGTGTGCTTATAACCCTGATAATTCTTACAGACTTAGAGAAGACATACATGTACTCTGGTTCTTGTGAGGACGGTTCCTGTGGAAACTGGATGGCATCACTGGTCTACAGCCGCCATCTGCCACAGAACCTACATGGTAACCTACAGCCTCAAGAGCAAAATTGAGCATGCACATGTCATAAATGAACAGTATGTTCCACCTCACAGCGATATGACTTAATGTTAACTCCTAAGAGGACTGCGTGCCTTGTTCCCTCCCAGTCAACACTGTCAAAAGAAAACAGAAAAAATTGGCAATGATCAAACAAAATGTAATTAGTATGCTTTTGATGAAACATGAATGAAAAAGGATCACTGAAATTCTAGGTAATGCATCTATCTGACAGCATCTGTTCTAGACCTGTCTTCGACACCTTACAAAGCAACGAACAATTTACTCACAATAAACCTTAATGAATGGTTCTACAACTGTATCTCCTGCAATAGGAATGTTGACATTTCCTTTAGTTTTGGTGACACTACACTAAAAATAGCAAATTTTTGTCGATTCTGTCACTTCAAATATAGGCCAATGACCAAGGTAATATCTGGGGGGGAGGAAAGAAACCCAAAACACTTTAATTCTTACAACTGCAAGCACCTCAAACAATGAATTCTTGTTACAATACTTGTTATCTTTTCACAATCTAGTTATTGCAAAGGCATATTGATAAATGTTAATGGACGAAGTCAAGAAAACAGAGGCACCTTGAAGAATGTAAAATTAAAAAAAAAAAACCCGACATTCAATCCACTGATTTCTAAAAAAGGCTGAATGTACCTCTATATATTACGTTCTAAAATTGTATTGCCTACTATGGTTTGTGTCCAGGATTCTACAATTTTAAGGAAATGCATAAAACAAAATTGTGTGCAACCTGCAAAGGGAAAATCATTTTCTCAGCTTCAGTATGTGGAAAGACAATGGAAAAGCTAGTAAAATTTGCTGTAGCCTCACATAAAACCTGTCTCTGGAATGAATGCAATCACCTTTACCTCCGAGATATTAGTGTTCTGCCCACCGTGCTGCAAATTGTACATATACATACCTTAGTTCTAGACAAACACAAGCGAGCTTCCCCCACCCCCCCATATATATATGTATTTTTTTTTCATTCCACACACTGAACATGTTTCTCTTGTCCAATTTAATCTATGCAGAGTTTAACTTAACAGTGCTTGGAGGAGGCAACACCACATGGTACCAGGCCACCACATTTTTAAAGGGAAACTGCTCTTTTTCCTTAAAAGTATTTTTAATTAAAAATATGCAAAAATACGAATGGGAGTGCTACACTATCATGTATTTTAGAATAAAAAGCATGTGTTTTCTATCTTTAAAGTGCCATATAGGGAATGACAAAACCTGGAGCCACTTTGTTTAAAATCCAATGCAAAAGGACTGTCATGGAATGAAAAGTTGGCACAACTCCTTGGAGCAGTTAAAGTCTGTTACATGCAACTTAGGCTACAAAGCACTCAAGACTGGGTAGCTTTTCTGAAATTTGAGTCCCCATCCCATATTTAATGGAAATGAACATTTACAGGGTGCATTTACATACACTATAATACAGGAATGATGTCCCTTTGCTGGAAGATAAAATTGTACATTTCCTTGCTATTTCTTGGTTCCAACTTGATAATTTCTTAAGATTGTAAATTATATAGTACTCAGCTAAAATATTTCTTCATAAATAGTTACAAAACCTGCCGAAACACAAGAAGGAAAGTATTTTTCGTTCAAAAAAATTGACATTTGAATGTCACACAACACAAGAAACAATGCTTAGAGACATGTTATTGTTTCCAGAAGAAAGTGGGTCAGTAAACTACTAAGCTGAAGACAAAAGACTGCCCTTCCCCAGGATCACAGTGCACAAAAAGCAAAATGTCAAACGACAGTACCTCAAAGCAAAATAAAGGTCTGAGGATGAAGCCAGCTCACTTGTAATCCTGTTAAAGAGCGAGAGTCCCCCTTTAGGGCCAATGCACTGGACAACACGTGCCAGCTCAGAACGCTCGTGCGCAGAATCCGCTAAGAATTCAACCAAGGATGCCGGAGGCATTCACCAGCCGAGGCTCGTTTTTCGGGAACCATTTCTAACATCGGGATCAGGAAATCTGTAAACTGTGCAGCATCTTCATGGGGCCAACCGTACTTTTCCACGAGTACATCAAAGAGGCTCCAGGGCTTCAGCTTGGTGATGTGCCGCAGCTCTCCTACGGGAAAGACAGGCAGCGTCAAGGCCGCTCCCAGGCTGCGCCTTTCACTGACGCACACACCCACCTGCTCAACACCAGGCGGCACCGCAGGCCAGCTCTCACACACAGGATAATTGTAAACTGTCTACATGCCTGTGTCATGTTTCAAGCGGGCTTGGGGAATGCAAGCAGGGGTCCATCTGTACCAGCTTTAGTTTCTTTAAGCAGAGCGAGCTAGGGATGCTCAGAATATTTACTTTTGCTAAGACTGAGGCACTCTCACTCCACCTTGGATTCTTTTTTTTTGCAATTTGCAAATTTGCTTAGAAAAAACTTTAAGCTTTATTTAAACTCCTTGAACCATTATTTCTGCAGGTAACTATGCAAAGAAAAGTCTTTTCCACTGGAACAGTGCTTGGGCAAGAGAACTTTCTATGATGGGAGAGATGTTCTGTATCTATGCTAATGTGGCAGCTGCCTATGTGGCTACTGAGCATTTGGAATGGGGACAGTATGACTAAGGAACAGAAGTTTAATTTTAATTTGTTGCACTTTAAACAGCCACATGTAGCTAGCGGCTACTGCACCGGTCAGCACAGCTCTAGGGCCAACCCAAATCAAGTACCATTCACCTGTCCACATTTGCTGTGACGTCTATGCTATCAGGACATCAATTATACTTTTCAAACGTGCTGAAGTTATACTTTTCAAAACGTGCTAACTGCAGTAAGAAAAGTGTGGGTTATGAGCAGCCCTGGCTGACCTACAGAGTAACTAACAAGCTAGTAAATGGTCTGCAATCCATTACAGCCTTTCTCACAGAAGGAAAAAGTGGTTATTTTAAAGTCAAACTGCCAGAAGGACAGATTGACCATCTTTAAGAATAACTCATTTTCCGTGCCTGTTAGAACTTTTCACAGGATGCCACACAGGACATGCGCATCAACAGGCCTCCCCGGTGCCCTCAGTGTCCGGCCCGCAGTCCCCGCAGACAGCACTGCACCCCACTCCCCAGGTCCCCGGGCCCAGGCTGGCCAGAGCCCTGCGTCCGGCAGCTGAGAGGCAGGCACCTGCCAGGCGCCCTTGCACAAGGGTGGGTTCCTCTCTCCTCTTGCACCTGCTGTAACTTAACCAACAAGGTGAATTTGTGCGTGTTATGCGTTAACAGAGAATCAGTCCTGCGCTTACAAAGGTCTTCTCAGGAGGCCTGGTCTGCTTCACCCATTTATTCAACTCAGTGTAGGAACATACCCCTTCCTCTTTCTTTAATCATGAGGAAGATAAAAACGCCACAGAAAATCACAAAAGCAAAAGGGAAAAACGACCTGTACTCCACCCCACAATGACCTTTCCTTTTAGCCTAGACTTTCAATGCACATTCTCATGAACTGGTTTGTCTACAGAG